GAACGAAGCATGGGTGGGGGTAGTGCTGCTCCATGCTTCGCGGAAGCCCGTTGGGAGGTGAGTGGAGCTGTGTTGCACCAGAACCGCGATGCTTGAAATATCATAGTTGCCACGAAGCCTGGAGGGGGCTGATGCTTCGTTTTGGCCTGCTAATTAGTGCTTGTTTATTTTTCCTGGGTTGTGCGCTTCTTTTTGCTTTTGGGTCCGCGGGCTCGCCTTGATTTTCAAAGCCAAGGCACGAGGAAGGTCTGATGGAACTAAGTGAAAAAGGAAGAGAAATGACTTTACACCTTCCTGACCGAGTGCCCGTTTGGCACCTCCGATGTCGGAAACAGAAACACGCTAGGCTGATCCAGCAAACTGACGGTGAAATGAAATAGCGGATAATAACGAAGGCCACTCACAAAGTGGCAAGAACACGGTTAAAACAGTCGATTTCTGGCATCTGGCAAAAGTTGGCATTGTTGTTCCGGGGTATTGGTGTATGCACTTTCATGGTTTTTCTTCCAGCAAAGATCTAAAGAGGTCACCAACCAATTCTTTCTGGGTCGCCCCGGTCTTCTGAAGAGAGGTGTATATGGGACAGCACTGTCCCTACGAAAACTTACCTGTCTCGTGGGATCGCGATTGTCAGTTCTCAAAACGTGTCCAGTAAGTCTAATCCTTATACTCTTCAAAGTGAGCCTTTTTTGTAGGCAATATTTGAATTTAATTCTCCCGACTGGCGAACTCCTGCCAGGCGGTGTGCTGGTAATCTCGGCGAACGTCATTAAGGACGAATTCCACTCTTTGGGTATGGTGTGACTGGAGTTTTCCAAGTGACACTCGAGTGCATAAAGACGAGATGACACGAGGGTATATACTTGGGTCTAGATGCTTAGACAGCCACCTGCAGTTCCCGATTATCATGTTTGGCCTTTTCTTGCGCCGGAATCAACCATTCCACAATTTTTGACTTGTGGTTGCTGTGTAAGTGTAGAGAAGGCACCAAAATTGCACTCTGTACACTAAATTAATGAAGGATACTTTTGCCAGAAGTCGGGCCCTGGTCTTACCCATCTGAGCTCTGGTTTGGCTTCTGCTTCGGGTCTTTGCAGCAATTGCTGGTATTTTCCCCCATCAGGTTGTGCGGGAGTTTCTGTGTGCCGGCTTTCTATGGATGATGCTTTCTAGGCTTTGCCAGATTTAGCTGATTCCTCCCTGGTGATTCAAGGGGTGATCCGATTGGTGGCCGAATTGGGTTGAGAGTGGTTTGTCCGACTTGTGAGATACTCTTTGTGTTTGTTGAAGGTTTTGCACTTTGGCCAGACAGTGGCATTGCTGGGTGTTTGACAGGGTCGATTGTTTTGCAGAGAGTCTTATGCCAGGAGTTGCCGCAGGAGTATCTACCTTGGAAGGTTGACAAGGAAACCTCATGAACTTTGGAGGCTGGCAGGGTCTGCTGTTGGATGAAGCACGTTCCGACTGAACTGAATGGTATTTATTTCCGCTTGTTCTTCCCTGATGGCATGACTAGTGAAGAGGAACTGAACACATCATGTTTTCTTGTTACTCGCACGGCGGAAGTTCTGGACATGTTGAAGCACTGTTTTACTGCGTACGGTCTCTTCACAAAGCTCGGCCAAGCGATGACTGGGCTTCGGCAGGCAGAACTCCAATAGAACCTAAACTTGCTGGCAGGACGGTGAAGGCCAAGCCGCCATCATTTTAACGGAGGATGGTGGCTTCATGCAGGGCATTGCCAAAGGTTGGTTGAATCGTTCAGAAGAACTCATTTCTACTAGGAACAAAGACGCTACTAGGGTCTCCTGGCCTTACTACTAGGAGCAAGGACGCTACGAACTGTCTTTTGCTTTGGCCAATGAGCAGCCTCCTGAAGCGAGAAGAAGTTCTCATAATGACCAGCGGCTGCCTTCGCCAAGAAGGCGTCGCAGCCTGAATCCATTCAAGTTCCCAATACCTATGGGAAGAGCTCCCATATTGAGCTTGCAATTTCCTCTTGCTCCCTTTCCTGTATTACTTGGCTTTCTAAGGCGACAGGCAGCTGGGGTGACACGGGTGATGAGTTGAACATATGTAATAAATGAAGAAAACAGAGGTCTTCAAAACCCTTGCCTTTCCTTTCTTCTCCCTTTCTTGGACTTCTTTAATCTGCGAACTCAATAAATCGAAGTTGGAATGACTCATCCACTCTGCCAAGCCTGCCTGTTTGGCTTCCAAGTTTGGAGGAGGGTCGAATTGGGTTTCATTTGAAATGGAACAGGTGTGCAATGTCAAGGTTTGGTCAAGTTTCAAGCGTTGCCAAGCCGAAGTTCTACCTTTGGACCCTGTCTGAATATTGATCATTTTAATCATTTTTCTACTCAGATTACTGAGATGACTTGGAGCTCAAAGGTTTTAGGCTCAGTGGGATCGAGTTGACAGTGCAGACCGTTCCATGTCACGGAACGTCAAAAGAGCGGCGCATCCGTTCCTGTGACATTGCCCATCCATGCCAATATGGCTGGATCAGGGCACAATCCCCAGGCAGACTGTTCCCGCTTTGATATTTTCCTGTGAGTCTTCTGAAAATGCTAAGATTTGGAGAGTTGGGCCCATCCAACGTCCAAGTCCCACTCCTCCATGGCCGTCCATTGGGCCGTTCATTGAGAGTGTGGCATGGTTTACCGCCGAGACAGTCTGCTGAGTCCGTGCTTTTCGGCACAGATGGGAGCGGAACGGGGTGAGCGATTCGTTGGTCGGCTCCGGGTGCCCTGCATCCTTGGGCCCTCGGCAAGTGTGGGGTTTCTGATCCTCTAAGACCCGCTGGTGTGAACATTTCAGGCTTAAATTTTGTTAACGATCACAACTTTGGGAAGAAGTTTGAAGAAGCAGTGTTTCTTACTCCTTCAGACTGCGGAGGCTGCCTCTTGACAGAAACTCTGCGGAAAATGTCCACGCTTGTGCCGATGCGAAGGGCTTCCTATAGAGGGGTTGCGCGAAGTGTTGAGGATACATAGAATATCATAGAATCAGAACGTCAAAATGGGCTACATTTTTAAGAGTTTAAAGTTGCAGATATCATACAAGAGAGCAATTACGCGCATTTCCGATGCGGTTGCCAGCTCGGTGTTGCGATTAAATTTAACACTGCAACACGTTGAAGCTGGTGAATCTCTTAGCTCCGGATCCTGGCAGGACCTCCGACATTGAACTATTTTGCTTTAGCCAAGTAGTAGCGATGGGAAGCTACTCAGCTTAGTTGTTGCTTTTGAAAGGACACACTCTCTGCCGGCAGGATTGATTTGGTTCCTAGATGTTTTGGGAAACTTATGCAGTATGATCACAATATGTTTACTCCTTGGCGAGTCCTTGAGTCCTTGCAGATTAGGTTTTGTGTTTGCCGTGCAAGAATTCTGCCTGCAGGTCTGTTATCTTGATTTGAGGAGGAATAGAAACACTCAACTCGCTCAACTCAAACACCTCGACGTGCAGACTAATCTCACCCTCATTGACCGTGAGAGCGCGAGATCCTGCTAGCGTAGATCGAGACTTGCTGCCCCGCCGAATCCCTAGACTCCTGCCCAGTGCAAAATCAGCGCGGCTCCTGCAAGCGATAATATATGTTTTCCCGAATACGTAGCGAAGGGTTCTCGTTTAACTCTGGGGGTCTGGGGGTAGAGCCTTGTTCGCGACGCGTTGTCTCAGCGTTAACGTCCGCAACCGTTCGCAACCGTTCGCAAGTGACCGCAGTAGGGCGCTAAGGCGCTGCCATTGGGGGAAGCTTTTGGAGAGGGTTTCGGATGGAAACGTGACGTGTCAGTAGCGTGGAAACGTGTGGAAATGTAAGATGTCGAAGTGTGGAGGATGATTTCACTGCGCAGGCGCAGCGTTTTGTTCTCTGCGCAGTTCCATTGGGATTAGCATTTGGAGAGTGGTGTTTTTGGGGTGTTGGATGTGGCCGTGCCATTTTGGTTTGCGTTTCAGGGTGTGGCATCGAAGCTCTGTTTTCGTGACAGGTCTCAGCTGAAATGGCGATTTTTGTGGATGGGAGTGTGCTCAGAACGGGTCGAAATCATTCCAAACGTGTGGTGTGGTGCAAATTTTGTTGAAGCTCACATGCTATTATGATATTGTCACTTTTCGTGGCAGGCGCAGTACTTTGTGCGGGTTTTGAGGTGTGGAAGTGCGATTTTTGTGTGAAGTTGCGAGGTGTGACGGAGGTGACATTTCGTGGCAGGCGCAGTACTTTGTGCGCGTTAGACGTGTGGACGTGGAAAGATTCGTGGCGCAGGGAATCGTGAGGTTGTGAGTTGTGGTAGAGGTGAATGTCGCTGTCACATTGGGATTGGCGTGTGAGCTGGTGTTGTTTGGAGGGGCTGGAATCGCGAAACTGCTTGGCAGGGCTGCGTGATATGTGCGTGCGTGTGTGTGTGTGTGCGTGTGTGTGTGTGCCCCTTGTAGTCACACGGATCCCATTGGATTGTGGTTTTTTCTTTTCAGCAGGGGGTAGCGGCAGATCACTTGGGACTGCTACCAATGAAGACGCCCATTTGATCTGGTACCTGCTTAATTTTTAAGATTTGCTGAGTTGAGCTTGAGATTCTGCAGACATGCACGACACGCCGTCACTTCGACCTGATCGCCGACCTCGATCTTGCGCCTTGGGCCACCTTTCCTTTTGAAGACCTCCAGGTTCCGATGGTCCTTTCTGGTACTCTTAGGAAATGGAACCCTAGGCCGGCGTGTCGCACCGCTATCAGTTCAGTACACCCTATCCTAAGTGTGTTTGGCCTCGTGCCAACCCGGGATGAGCCCGTAGAGTGCCTCCCGTGGACCCGTCGAACGGGTTATCTCCCCTGCCTGGAGATGTAGGTGTCCGCAGCGGACAGTAGCTGGCTCATGCCACCAGAACTCAGATTTTTGTCTCATTTTTGGAATTCCAAGCTGGCTCATGCCTTCACGTGACCGCAGCGGTCCAAGCAGCCAGCCATTTTGGCACGGCGTACGTGGCCTCCCTCCTGCCATGTCCTCTTCTCCTGCCGCAATATGTTGTTCCCCCTCCAGAGGCTTCAACCACCTATGGACAATACCGTGTCAACCCCAACGGCTTCCTTCGTGCATTGGATTGCAGAAGAGAACTACAACCTTGGCACTACAGCTGATGAGGCTTCACTGTCCTGTCGACAACCGCATCAACTTTGACTCCAACACACCACCTGAGTCACCGCCTACTCCCGCCACTCCGGCTACACCACACCGACGCCTACACGCTCTCGATCCCGCGCACCTCCCCCAATCAACATCCTGCCACCACTTCCGGGTTCGTCTACCTCTACGCCTTGGACTACCTCCTCTCGTGGCTCGACGATCGCTCTCACCAACGTCCTCTGGATGGTTGCGGTCTCCTGCACGGACATTTATGGCAAGCCACACGGTTCAGAACTACCGCACCCGCACAGACTCCGATGGACTCCGCTGAGGTCCCTTCACCTACTCCTCCTGAGCCAGCTTCTTGAGTTTTGATTTTGGGATGTTATTTGCCGATCCTTTTTACTCTCAAACCACTGCGATGCGTCTCAAAAAGCGCACCTTTCTTTCCATTTCTTCTATCTAATTTCTTTCTTTCCTGATCAGTTTTCATTATTGCGTCTTCTCTCGTTCGTATTTCGACCTTTCCGCCGCCTTTCTTCTTCAGTTCTCAATTGGTGAATTTCCTTTTTCGTCCCTGCGCCCCTGCATCTCGCTGTTCTTGACCTCAACTCACCATGGCCCGTGGGCGTTCTACGAGCAGCTCTCCTGAACCTCATCGCCGTCGAGGAAAACGTGACCGTCGCACTTCCTGTCGTTCCCGCTCTCCACGCAGGAAATCCACAGGCCTACCGGTTGAGACTCCTTCCTCTTCCAACACCTTCGAGGCTCGATATCCTCTACCCACAGCCTGGACCCGCGATGACATTTACCTCGATCGACAACAGGAATACAAATTGACTTTTCCTCGTCGCGTCATCGCAACTGCTTGGAGTCGTGAACTTCAGATTGATCATCAACCTAATGAGGACGTGCGCGTCTTATTGACGTACTCAGTCGCAGGCAAGAGAATTGGACTTTGCGCCTTGTCGCCAATGGCCGATTAGTCTAGTTCGAGGGATTCCGGAATCGCCAAGAGGCCTACCACAAGGTCCGCCTTACATATCGTAGATATATGTTTGGATATGTCAGGTTATATGTGTGGATATGTAAGGTTATATGTGATGGTAAATGGGTTAAGTGTCCATAAGTATTCGGCCAGACTTACGCTAGATACAGTGTATATACAAAAATTATAAGTCATTTATAAGTCAGTTATAAGTCGGAATAGTACGGAAGCGAAAACCTACTTATTCTACTTAGGGGCGCACTTAGCCTACTTACAAACCTAATTTTTTCACAGTTTTTTTCATGGTTTTCTTAAAAATGTCATGAAAAAGTTGATTTTTTTAAGGTTTTTGTGTGTGGATTTGATTAAAACGCTGGAATCAGCAGTCTACAGCGTAATGTCAACATTACAGCCCCTTGATATGAAATTGCTGAGGGTTAGTTGAGTGGGCAAAGTTTCATAAGATATTCCATTCTGTAGTTTGTTTTTTGTGGGCTGTTGCAAACATAAAAGAAATTCTATAGACGTGAACATCATTACGCACACACATACAGACACAGACAGAGAGCCCTATATGAACAGGGTGAAAAGCGTTTGTTGGGCGGTGTACCCGCTGCAGGCGAATTCGATCTATAGATGGCTGTGAGAGACCGCAGTTGAGGTTATAAGTGGCGGTGTGTCCGCTGTAAGTATAGGTTAGTGGGGCGGTGTGTCCGCTGTAGGTTTGTAACATTCGGCCGGGCTTGAATGGAAAAAAGATAGGGGAGGAAAGGAAAGAAGGGTACCCTTTCGCGTGCATCTGCGAAACACGTGGGCGTGTGTTGAGAGAAAGGAATGGGAGGAAGTGCAATCTCCGAGATTGGTGTTGAAAGGAGAGCCTGCCCGTAGCGATGGCCTGACATCGTCTGACTTCCTTCTGACTTCGTTCTGACATCGTGTGTCGTCAGGGCGTCG